TGTTCTTAAAAATAAGCAACAACTAAAAACACGATCTTTTTCCCTTTTTGCTTTAACAAAGCTTCTCTGTTGAAATACAGGGAGTTCTAGGATCCTAGTTCTTTTATCTGAGCTGGCTGCAATTCCACTTTTGTACTGTTTGTATAGGTTGCCTTTCTTTGTGCAGTAAGTCCTCTTTGAAGAGAAGTTTTGAAATTAAACAATGACATTTAATTAATCGTTTGGCTTGTGCTATCATTTCGGAGATACAATAACTTCAGTTCTCTATAAATCTCAGTTCTTATATATGGTGAGTCCCCCTTTGGGTTCCCATTCAGTGAAGATACTGTTGCCCTTGCCTTGTGGTGGGGCTGCACTCTAGGTCCTTGAAGGATGGCCTGGCTGCCGAGAGCTGTCTGGCCCCCATCTAGTGACTGATGGATGTGGAAGTATAATGGGCTGACCTACCTGACCTAACATAGAGCAAGTCTGAAGGCCATGCTAGCCTCCATGTGGTCCTGGGAGTTTGTCACTGGACCATAGCCAGCTGGACTTCTCCTCTACCCAGTCCTGCTTCCTTCCCTGGTCCTCCATCAGGTGGAGGCCAAGGGCAAATATTTCAAACTCCTAAGGCTGCCATAATATTGTCTTAACATTTTATAATCCAGCCTCTTAATAATCTGTAGACAAATGTTTAAATAAAACAGCACATGTGATTGTTTCCACAACTTTTGCTTCTTAATCGTTGGCACCATTAATTGATTAATAGTTTTTTTTAACCATACTATTATTCTTTTAAAGAATTAAATTCTAATTTTCAACCCAGATCCTCAAAATGTTTATAAACTCCCTCCGAAAGGAGACTTGGAATCCTTAAAGTGGGAATTAGGGGATCACAGAAGAGAATGGAAGTAACTTTTTCCCGTTGAAAGAGCCCAATCACATTGTGATGACCAATAATAGGTGAAAAGTGAAATCTAGTCATCTGACTTACTGGCATAGACAAGTGGGCAAATATCATGTCTCAGAATTTAGGACATTTAATAATGCTGTACAAAAAAAATGGTAAAGGGTTCAAGAATATGACCTGTTGACAATCCCACGATTTAGGTCTGAATACAATCGTCTCAGCTCAAGTTTGGTGATGATGTTTTCTGTTTATGAGGATGATGATTATTAGTGATGGTTATAATGTACGACATTTGTATAGGACTTAATCATTTTATCCTTTTAAATTTGATTCTCTTAACATCCCTGGGAAACAGTTGCTATGAACCATGTCACAGAGATGAGGACACTGAGAGATGAGAGACTTGTTCAAGGTCACACAGGACCACCTGCATGTATTCTGACCCAGGTGTGTTTTCTTCTTCACTCCCACGTCTTACTGCACGAGCAAACCAACACACATGGAAAGGGCCTTTTGTTTCTCAGACCTGAGACACTAGGCTACTCACTCATGAGGTAAAGAAATAAAAGCTATGAATGGAATTGTTTATAAATTTGCTCTTGCATCAGTAAGAGCAAATTATTGTGCCACCCTACAGATGAACAAACTAAGGCCAAGGCGGTATTCTAATTTACTGCACCCTGATAATAACTATTTTGGGTGGCAGAGGCTATTTCAGTGAAAACGTCCTCTGAATTTTGATGCTCCAAAATTGTTTTAACTTTCTTTGTGACAGTTTTTAAAAAAACATATTTATATGCATCTTTTTGTTTCCCTACTTGACTGAAAGGTGTTTGACGGCAGAACTGTCTCATTTCTATTTATATCAGCAGTGCCTATTATAATTGCATTTATTAATTCAACAAATGTTTATTGAAATCTCTATGGGCCAAGCACAGTGACAGGTATTGGGGCTGTGGCGGTAAATGTGAAAGACAAGCTTCAGTAGTCATGGTGCTTAGAGTCTAGGGTCAGAATAAAGAGTAACAAAGTTTTTAAAATATACAATTACTGTGATTGTTGCAGCGGAAAGGTGAAGTGGAAGACTAGAGACCTCAGGAAAATTTTCATGAGGACATGCATTTACAGGGCCAACTGAAAATTTTTGAGGATGCAATAGGTATATACTGAAGTTTAGGTCAGTTCTATAATCTACGTAAGTTCTAAGTATCTTAACTAAGTTCTTTATGTTCTATAGAGGTACTGTATTTGTGTAGCTATCAATTAGATTTATAAGAGAGGACACATTGGCTCTTTTAAATGAGTCTTTAAATTTGCTTTATCTGATTCATCAATTATGGATATCCACTAAACCATTAAGTGTAGGTATAGCCCACTATGAATGAGCAAGGTGAGGAGAACAATTCTAGTCTTGGAGTCAGATGGATCTGGCTTTGAACCTGGGTTCCAACATCTTGCTAGCTGCTGACACCCCTGTTTCTCAGTTTCCTCATCAGAAATATGGTGATCTTAGAGTGCTTTTACTAGGATTAGGGAGGTACAGAGTGACTGGAACTGGCAAGGAGCGATCACATGTATTGTAGAGTGTATGTAAAATGTTTGGTTCAACACATGATCTTTTATCACAAAATAATCAAAGGAAAACATTTATACAGGCAAGGAAATGAGACAGGACATTCTAGAAAACAGCCAATTCCAAATCCCTCCATACAGCATTCTTTTCCTAAGTGCCAAGGTTTAAAAATTATTTCTTGCAGAACTGGGCACACCTGCAGAATAGGGAAGTTAGTGCCCTCTGAATTGTGCACAATCAGTGCTATTTCAGAGTGAGGTGTGAAAAAAATAGGTGCAATAGACATATTCTGTGGTGGAGGGCAAGTCCTCTTCCTCCTCCCGACCCCAGGAGTCTAAATCAAGTCAGAGAATCTCTTTAAACATTGAAACAACAGATAATGAGTATTGTAGGAAAACATAGCTTTGATAAAGCCAGGATGTTTGATTAAATTTCACGGGTATTTTAACCAAACTCTAACAGTATGTAATGGCCTCTTCTTCTATGAAATCATTGGACAATTTGGGGGACTACGTATTCATTACTATATTTTGATATATCTTTTGCTGCTGTTTTTAGCATTGGATTATTTTACATTCTTGTCTGGCTTTTCTTATGTGTGCATCTTGTCATCTGATTATATAAGACAACTGTTGAGTATAGGCAATCTTTGAATATCTGTAGCTCTGGAAATGTAGTAGACCATGAGTGCTTATGAGTGGATTAACTGTGTACTTTTTTGACTGATGTGAAGATAGAAAGTGTGAATGAGTTTCAAGGCTAAGAAAAAAATCCTAATCTTCTAAGTCCAATCACTTGGGAGTCATGCACTCTACAATTCAATAAAATATTCATAAGGCACCAAACAGCAAAATGCCATGTGGTGCTGGTTCTTCATAAGTATTTGCTCAGCTGAAATAAATTAATTGTGCAGTCCCTTTTTCCAGGAAAATACAGACTGACCAGGCTGACAAATAAAAGGTGAGGTAAAGGAATAAAAAAAATATGAAGTAGATTTAGACTGTGTAAAATTCCAACCTAACTCAGCTTTTTACAAACAAAAATTATCACATAAGTTAAATCTGATCATAATACACGAGTTGTCTGCCTATTACATGGTTCTGTTTGGCTACCTGAGGTTTTCTTCCTAAAGCATACAACTCATCATGTAATTCTCCTGCTTCTGAATTTTCAGTGGGTTCCCATTGTGTTCAAGATAAAAATCCAAATTATTTTGCATGTCTAACAAAGGCATTCTCAAGCTGCTTCTGCCCATTCTTTCCAACCTCTACCCCGGCCAGTCTCTACCATAAGCCACATCAAGCAAGGTTCTTCCATAGCTTGGCCTCTACCAGAAGTATCCCACTTTTGTCCCTGTGTGGACATCCATGTATATTTGCCCTTTAAAATTCAACTCTCTCTAGCACTTGAGTTACTCCTTCCTCTCTGCTCCTATTGTGTGGCAGATTCTCTTAATTCTAAAATTTATTACATATTCCATGATAATTTACTGGAATGCCTCTCTCCCAGACTAGATGCTAACTGTTGGATTAGTCTGTGCATCCTCAGTGTCCAGCCCAGTGCATAGCATATAATGGCACCCAGTAATGTTTGGGTGACTGAACGCATTGTGAATTGTTTGGAAGTAAAAATGCCTTTGCCTGTTAAGGCAATGCTGTAAATAAATGGTGATTTTCTTCTCAAGTGACTCAAGAAGCCTGTTTAACCATAATGCGATTTAAACTTGTTGCTAATATTGCTTATTCTTCTCGTATTAGAATAGGTTACCTCTGCACCACTGCAGTGGAGGAAATCTCTTTCTTCTTCTCCTATCCCAGCCCATCAGCTGAGGGCAGAGATCTTTTCTAAACTTTTCTTTTTGGCTTCTCATTGCCTTAAAAGGAGAGGCCAGAAGAAGAGTTATTTCTGTTTTAGCTGTGATAGTGGGATGGCATTTCTGCCATTTTGATTTTCATGGTGGAGATATCCATCAACAGAGGGCTTACATCTTTGAAACGTGCTTGTGTCTCAAATAGTCTTAAACACCACTTGTCTCATAACGTTATCTTGATGCATAAGAATCTTGCTGCAATACTATGAGCTAAAGAAAGGAAATTAACTTTAAAGCAGATCTACTTATAAATAAAAGTAGCAAAAGGACATTAATTGGTGGTCTCACCTATAATACATACTCATAACTTTTATTAATCCAGGCACCTGTCCTTGCACTTACGTTAAATGAATTAAAATCACCCTGCTTTCTGCTCCTTCTCTCTTGTCCTACATTTTGTACACTTTGGTTTTATTTTTTTATAGACATCCACAAAAATAATTGAGGCAAAAAAACCGTGATGAATGATTAAGTCATTGATGTCATTGAGTTAGTACATAAATTATAATGCAAACAAATGTGATTGCTTTTAATAGGTGAGAACGATAGCTATTTTGAGAAACAGTATACTTTCCTGATTCATGTGTTTTTATAAAGTAGCTAACCTCATTAAACTTGTTAAATAAATATCCTTTCTGAATCATTTTCTTTCTTTTTTTTTAAAATAGGTGGTGTATGCATTGCTCAATCACAGAAAATCCCACGTGAACCAAGACCTGGAGAATTTGAAAAAATTATCAAGCGCCTGCTAGAAACACCTAATGCTCGGGCAGTGATTATGTTTGCCAATGAAGACGACATCAGGTGCCAATTGTTTTTCTTCCTTATGTGGATCAGATTTGCAGCCCACATCTTTTTTTCTAACATATTTCATGTTCAGTGTTAAGTCTTGTGAGATTTCACAGGAATTGCAGCCTTCTCGTTCAATTACAGACTGCCTTCTGCTGTGGTGAGACAGCAGCCTTCTAGCTTCTCAGCCTGAAATGTTTACAGAGTAAAACCTGGAGACTGAAAGAAACGAGGCAGAATGACGTGAATGAGGTTAAGGATAAGGCTAATTTACCAGGTGCTGGAGTTAAAGTCTCCACTCTGTTTCCTCCAGGTGATAAGACTCAGGCAGTCAGAATGATTGACTAGTTGTCCAATGGTGACCTACTGAGTATGTATGACTTGATATAGCGGGTCTTGTAACATTCATACGTGTAGAGTTTCTTGATAAGTGTGGGATGTTTTATTTCTTTTTTATTCCTGCAGGAGGATATTGGAAGCAGCGAAAAAATTAAACCAAAGTGGGCATTTTCTCTGGATCGGCTCAGATAGTTGGGGATCCAAAATAGCACCAGTTTATCAGCAGGAGGAGATTGCAGAAGGGGCTGTGACAATTTTGCCCAAAAGAGCATCAATCGATGGTAAGGATGTACCATAGAGAATTTGTTTCATTCCGAGTGAATCTAAGCTCAAAAGCAAAGTCAGAGTTCTTCGTATGTACCAGCATATGATGAAATGCATCCATCATTGATGACTCTGGATAGATTTTTAGTGTTGATGGCAGAATTGTCAAGACAGTAACTATTTAATCCAGTATATTGTATTTTTTATTAAAAAATAGTACCCATTAGATTTTTATTTGAGAAGGAGCACTACAGTTGGCCTTAGATATCTCAGTGATGTTAGCAGTTACCCTTTAGTTCTGCATATTTCCATGGGCATATATGATGATTATAGCATTGTTGGATGGCAAAGTGCTTGCTTTATAGCAAAGGAAGACTTGATGCTGGACTGGCTCTATGGATAAATAAAAGCAACAGCCAAGAGGTGGAGCATCCCTGAAAGGCAGTCTGTCTCCCAGATATCTTTTCCAATGATCTTGACAGTGACTTAAATTCCTACCTTTGCTGTTATCCTTTGGAGTAAGGTATTCTTTCCGGGTGGCCTCCCTTCAATGGGGTGGTCATCTGAGGCAGGCTGGCACTTTCGCGCATTACCCATGACCCCATACAATGACATTAGTACTGATTCCTTTCTTGAATTAGCTGAAAATGGAACACGTAGGACAGATAAATCTTGAGGCGAGTAGAAGCACAGAGGCTTGGGACGTTGGCTGTGCTAGGAGAGAGAGGAGAATGAGAAAACTCCGAGTTGGTTCTGAATATTCAGCGTGAGGTCACTGGTTGCTGCCACTGGGAGATGGAGAGGAGAGGGAGAAGTTACAAGGATGACACCCAGTGAGCTCTCCTGCTGTGCTCATCCCTAGAGCCAGGTGCCTGAATGGTGAATGGTGGGGGTGGAGGTATTGTCCACAGATCCCCCCTTGACTTTTACTACAAGGGAAGCCTCGTCTCTGGGCTATTGACCCTCCCCCATTAGTTACATATATATTTTTTCACGTATTGATCACAATATAGTATATTATCTATTCAAAAGTTCTGACAGTATTTGGTGTTGATTTTGAAAGAATATTAAGATCGTGCTTTTCTTCTTTAAAATAGGGTTTGATCGATACTTTAGGAGCCGAACTCTTGCCAATAATCGAAGAAATGTATGGTTCGCAGAATTCTGGGAGGAGAATTTTGGATGCAAATTGGGGTCACATGGAAAAAGGAACAGTCATATCAAGAAATGCACAGGTAGCCACTTAATTGTTTTCCTTGGCTCATTTATTTTTATCATTACCTGAGAAATGAAGTTTACATGTGGTTAATGCTGACTGTATTGCATCTTCTACTCCGTAGCTCTTGTTGCAGTTTCTCAGCAGGGCTGAGCTTACATTGATCATTCAACAAACAGGTTTGCTCATTGGTTCTTACAGTCAATGAACAAGAATTCATTGAACAGGTGCCATGTGACCAACACTGGGGTATTCAATTCTATTTAAAAAAAAAACACATTTATTGACTGTCTACTTTAGGCAAAGTACTTTATTAGGTTTGGTGGGATATTGACAAATAAGAAGACATGATTTTACTCTCCAGGAACTCAAATGTAGTGAGGATGACAGATCAGAACAAATTGCTGTCTGCCAGTGTTTTTCAACTATTTCATTCTATGTCCCCAAATCTTGCATAGTTCCAGCAGATGTGGTTTTTTGATGCTCTGCTTTCTATATCTTATGCTTACAAATCATAGTGATATTAAATGTGCCGTTTTGAATGCTAGAATGAATCTTTTTTATTTGCAGATAACATGATTGTGTATGTAGAAACATCTATGGAATTTTAAAAGTTACTTAGAACTAAGTAATACATTTTGCAAGGTCACAGATACAAGGTTAATATAAACATCCCTTTTTAACCCATTTTTGTCTATAATTTAAAAATATATGTATTAGAGATGAACTCATGAAAAGGAAATATGTACAACATGGTTGAAGAGTATAAAAAGTTAGGAGTACTTTTAACAAAGATGCATAAATCTTCTACACTGAATGAGCATTTTATAATCAGACACTCTTCCCCTGCTTACTCCCCAACCCCCACATTTTGATGTGTCCTCCCTTTCTTCTATTACTTCCTTTGGAAATAACTGTTCAAATAAAAGATGTACTATGACAAATCCTACAGCAGCCATATAAATGGAGTGAGGATGGGGATGTGAAAATCAGGGCCACCCTGTGGAGGGATGTGACTTCAGGCTGCCTGTGGGCCAGGCCCCTTTGCAGGAGCTGGCGTAAATGAAGTAAGACCAGGTTCATGCCCACAGGGCTTACATTCACGTGTGAGTAGACAGACACTAAACAAGTCAATGTATAAAGAAACAGAGACTTTCAGATGCTGAGACATGCCTCGGAGAAATACAACAGAGTAAATGTGAAGAGAGTGACCAGGTCGTCTTGGGCAGGAGACGGGCAGTCACTGTAGGTTTTCTGGTCTGGATACTTTGCCAAGGAGGTGACATTTGAGACCAAACCTGAATAGTGAGAACTGAATCATCAGCCATGTGAAGTAAGAAGGGCAGCCCATTGCTGGATCCAGGGCAAGCCTCTTGGGTTCAAGATATGGAAATAAAGAGGTCAGGGAGGCTGGAGTGAGTGAGAGTGAGGACAGTGAGTGAGAGAGAGTGAGGGCAGAAGAGGATAAAGAGACAGGCTGCATCCAGCTCTCGCAGGGTCTTGGAGTTCTTCCAAGAAGCTCCGGAGCTGAGGCGTTGGGGCTTTATCCTACCTATGAGATAGAATTACTTGAGGCTTTTATCTACGGCATTGCTCAGATTCTTGTTTCAAAAAGATTGCTCTGGCAGAAATGTAGGGAGGACTGGAGATCATGGAGGAGAAGAGAAAATTCAGTCAGGGTCCATCCGGTGGCCCCAGCGATGGGCATTTACAGCCTAAATGACACGTGCTCGTTCGGGGAGGAACACAGGGTATAGAAATCCTAGTAAGTAGAATTCACAGTACTTGGTGGGCGCTGACACTGAAGGTGGGGTGGTGGTAAGTGATGGAGGTTCTGAACACTAAGTCTCTCCTGGCTAGGTCTAGGGAAATGGTGATGTAAGCACTTAACAGAGAAGACAACGAATGGTAGGTTTGGAGGGACTGTGTTGAATCTGGTCCTGAGATCACCCCGTGGATCTGCCCAGCAGGTGGCAGCATAAGGGCTGGGACCCCCACATTGTGATCCGCACTAAAAGAACAGATTAGAGAGTGGCAGATGGAGGCCTGGAAGTTAAAGACAAGGGCAGGGATGCCGTTGCCTCAGGAAATAGAGCAGAAGTGCGGGATGACTACCTAAGACTCTCAGGCAGGAGCCGGAAGAGGAGACTGAGCATGATGGGTCAGTGAATAATGGGAAATAAAGAGGAGCCAGTTTTATAGAAGGATTTGAAAGGAGAGGTTATACCCAGGGCGCCTTATATGTTTTTCTTTCATGTATATTTTACACTGTACTTAGTTTTGAATCCTGAGTGTAATTGTTTGATCATCTACACATTCATATTCTATTGTTGTTTAGATCATATTCATGAAAATTTATCAGTTAATGAAATGGGTGAACTCAGTTCTTTATATATATATGACTGAAACATTATGGTATATACCAGAAATTGACAAGACATTGTAAACTGACTATACTTCAACTTAAAAAAATTATTAAAAATTTTTAAATATATATATATGATAAAATTGGTAGGAAATTAGTAATCGTATAGCTTTTTAACAGACTATTTTCAGAATAATCAGTTTCTCTAAACTCGTGTTTTTCAAGAAATGTTGATGTGTAGAGATGTCCTTTTAGTGTCTGTAGATGGTGTACATGGAATATGTATTTCGGGCATAAATAGGGAACTGGATTGTCGTAGAATCCAGACTTGGTGGCATGTCTGCTTCATATTCCTTTGACTTATTTGGGTGTTGCTAAAACTGTAGCAGTCTGTCCAATTAGAACTATTTCTAGTGCAATGAAAATGATGTTTACTCCAAGTGCTAGGGCAAATGCACCCTTAGGGAACGGGGTCAGTAAACAGATTTTCATGCAAATTCTATTGTGGGTAATACTGAAATAACTTGTCTCTGGGTAGGAAATAAATAGAAAATGCAATGTTCTAACTTATTTTTTTTGGAAAACACATGAATGTTTCCAGATGGTGAGAGAAGATATTTGTGCCCCCAGTTGCCATCAACACCCAGTGGTCATCTCTGTTTTAGGGAGGAAAAGAAGGTGAACGAGCCCATTAGTGGACAAAGAGGAAATGTACCTTGTGTACTTAGGAGGAAGAATCCACAGGTTATTCATGACTAGAGGTGTTCAGGATTTGAACACGTTTTATATTTTCAGTTTTCCCAGTTCCATCTTACTCAGAAATGAATGTATACATTTGTGTCTGTTTCAAAATTTGGCCTTACAAGGCTCACATTTTAAACATTCACAGTGAGTCCAAAAGTTAGAGAACCCTGAAAGTAGAATATCTACAAGGTCCTTTTTGCTGCACTCAGAGCATCATTTGTGGGTTATGTTTTGGGTAAAATTTTACATTAGCCGATGGTAATCTGTGAACCTAATTTTTTGCTTCCTTCCGTTGGGGGCGATACTGGCAATGTATTTACATGGATAAGAGGGTGCTTCCCAGCAGGCTAGAGCTTCTGTCTTATCAATTTTCGGGAGACAGGATGTCTTCAAGCAGTGAGGAGCAGCCACTTCCTAAAATTACCTTGGTACAGTTTTCTGAGATGATTTTCCCCCCTAGAATCTTAGGAAAGCTTTCAGAAAGATGTGATATTACTGTTAACTTTGATATGCTGGCCGAATTCCAAAGTGAAGTCATTCCTGCCATCCACTTAGCTATTTATGTCGGTATTATTGCTTCTGAGAGCTGCTGAGTTCTAAAAGCTACTACTGCTTAATCCTACTTAAAATTCCCTTTGTCTTTCTCAAGAAGAAAAAAAGGACTCTTTTATACTTGTTATCGGTGGTGATGGGTGTTATTTTATAGACATTTATCTGACCTCTCGCTCCCTCGTCTTCTCTGAGTTAATGCCTTTCTGCTCCTCCCGGCTCAGACACCCACACCCTCCCTTGAGAATTGTGGGTCTTCGTCGCTTCTCCTTGTTTTTGCACATTTTTCACACACCTGTTTCCCAGCTCAAGCCTCTGCCTGAACTCCTCTTCCACTGATCCCCTTCACCACCTCAGTTTTTCTTTCTCCTACTTTTTCTCCCATCAGTCTCTAACCTGACATTGTCTTGTCCCGCAAGACCCTCACTGGCCGTGGAGAGTTCGTGTTTCGAGGTCTCACTTGACTTTTGTAATGCCCGTCATATTGACCTCTTGTCTTCCATAGTGAGGCTGGAGAGTGAGTATTGCAGGGATCTGAGTTTGTGCAGAGCAGCTGCTCCTCAAAAGCAGTCTTCCTCCAGTATCACACTGTTTCAGCCTTCATTTCTCCATCGCGAATTGTAAATAGCTCCGCCCTTAGCAAAACAACATCCTCTGACCAACCCCCAAAACCCAGTCGGTTCCATATAGCATCTTAAAGCCTTCTTTTGAATTCATTCATTCATTCACTCTTCATTAACTTGTTTATTCATTTCGATAGCCTGCCTTTTGCTAGAGATTGCTACGGATACAAAGAACACATCATCCTTTCCTTCAAGTTGCTCACACAGACATATACACTGTCTTACTGAATTTGAAGTCCTTTCCCTGTCTGGTGGGTTTTAATTTCAACCAGGAGTTTGGGCGCTGTTGCTTCACTTGTGTAAGGCTGACACTCAGATGCTAAATGGTGGTGAACATATGCTACTTGAAATGGCCTGTTGATTCTTATTTATGATGATAGAGATAGTGGTAACGGAAAAAGTGATACATATATTTGTTTCTTCCCACAAACAAGCAATTCTGTCAGGGAACCAAAAAGCAGGCTCAGTAATTAACTCCTGAAAGACCTGTCAGTTCACTTTCTGGTGCCAGAGTAACTAGGTAACTCTTCAGATGTAACCATCTCTCCACCATCCTCTGTTTTGGGCACCTATGAAAGGTGGAAGCTCTCACCCATTCATTCAGGATTCAGGGAGACCACATGAGTGAAGCGGGTAGTAAGCAAGGGGGATGGCTTACACAATTGGATTTGTTGATTCAGAATGAAAGGAAACTAAGGTAGCTCTCCCTGAGATAAAATGTGTTCTGCCATCCCCATT